AAAAAAAAAAAAAAAAGGAAGTAAAGGTCAGAGATCAATGGAGTATTTTCCATGCCTGAGCAGGGAAGGGAGGGAGGGAGATACAAAAAGGGACAATGTATGTGTGTGCATGTAGTTCATGTGTATATATATGGACATAATATAAGTGTTAAGTGCTTTATGTGTTTCAGTTCCTAGACCTACAGATAAGAAGACCAGAAGATTCCTTCTGAAACAGGGATTATAGATGAACTATAAATACAGCTACAAGATAAAACAGAACATGATAGATTAAAAAAATATTCTAGTCAAAGAACTCTTATGATGAAGTTTTTACCCATACGTTTAAATATAGTTGTCAATAGTGATCAATCACCTATAGCCAACTATAACTTGTTACATTGGTTTTTTTCTGATCAGAATTGTATAATAATTAACTTAATGGCACAGAATACTACAGAAAGAGAATTTTGTTTAAAGAGAAAATTAAAAAAGATAAAATTCTTTTACCCTCCTTTTGTGAATAAACATCAAGAGTAAAATACCACTAATCAACAGTCAAAAAGCAAGATCATTGTATATAAAGAAAAATAAAGCTAAAAACCAAACTCACAACTATCAAGTCAATCCCAACTCATGGCAATATGCCCAAGTGTGACAGAACAAAACACAGGTCCATGAGGTTTTCCTGGCTGTAATCTTTTTATGGACATCACCAGACCATTCTTCCATGGCACCTTTGGACAGGTTTAAACTGCCAACGTTAGTAGAGTACAAACTGTGCCACCCAGGGATCTTAAAAGAATAAGCATAGGCAGTTAAAAACTAATAAGCTTCCACAGCCCACACAAGGCCTGAATGATAACTGAGATCAGGGCTGGACTCACTGGGACTTAGTTTTTGTTAGCCTGAGTCCCATAGTCGGGCAGATCTAGTTGCAAAGTTCTTTGTGAGTCTCAAATGATGATTTACCAAAGAGGAATGGACATTAAAAATTAAATAGCTATTATTATCAATTCAATCACTTAGCAAGCATTTGTTAAAGGTACCTCTATATATTAGGAAGAGACCGTAACAAGGCAAATAAGGTTAAATCTATGCCCTCAAAATTATAATCCAATAAAGAGAGATGTGGCAAAAAATGCCTTTTATTCAATCTTCAGTGATTCAAAAACAGGGGCAAGGGGAGAAGGCTTAGATTATTAGTCTAAGGATAAGGTATGGAGTGAGCATTGTAAAATTCAGTATTTAAGGGGAGAAGAAAGATTTATTAATACAAACACAAGAATAAAGAACACTGGTTGTCAAAGTCTACAAACTCTGTTCCCCTGAACTGTGCAAGTTCTTTCCAAAGTCTGCCAATACACCAGTGCTTTCCTATTTGGGGCCAGACAGAACTGAATCACCCTCAAACCAGTCTTCCTCAATAACACTAATACCAAACAAAAGAGAAAGCAGATAACTGATCTCTCAGCCCTCATGTCTTATGCTTACAAGGAAACCTTAAATTTCTTTTCCTTTTCACAATATTTTTGAGGCACAATGAGACTCTGAAATGAACTTAAGCATTCACCTTAAGAAGTGTTAAAAAAAGGAGAGGGAATCTCCCTCTCAACTGGGAAATTTTGGTGTAACCAATGTTTGGCCCTCACCTCCCAGAAGCTTCCACTTGGTACTGGAACGAAAAGCCTCCATCTGCTTGACCTCTTCTGGACGCTCATCCACAAACTCGGCAACCTGCGGGAGGGTTCAGAAAATGCCCAAGACTCAGCCAAGAAGCACTACTGTTCCCAAAACCCAAACACAAGACCATTCCCAATATACATGGTGTGTGCATATGCAACACAGTCATGAAGAAACACACAGTGTGCATCAAGGAATGAACGAAACCCCAACCTTTCTACAAATATTCATCAAAATCATATTTTTTTTTTTTTAAAAAGCAGTGGTCCTGAGGGATCCTTGCTCCATGAATATCTGATTGTCATTGGACTGACTGACTCATAGGTCTTTATCTGACAAATCAAATTCCTGCTGAAGGTTAATTTCTTTTATTACAAAGCTTTTTTCATTAACCAGCCAGGTAGACAACAGCCACTTTTAAGCTAAAAGATGCATCTCTGGCTGGCTCCATGTCACGCTTGTCTACTAACAAGGACTTCACACGCCTTACATGACCTTTCTTGCTGTAGGCAATAACAAAGACAGGTTTGCCTGAATCCAATCAAATTAAAGAAATCATTAAGATGTACAGAGAATCACAGAATTGTAAAATTAGAAAACCATATTCATATCATCCAAACTCCCAAACAAGTCTGGAACTCTCTCCACAATATCCAAGACTGATGATCACCCACTCGATTCCTTCCTGACAGGGATTCATCCCACAGGCAGTTTACTCAGTTCTGAACAATGCTAGGAAGGTCTTAGTTTTACTGGACCAAATACCTACTCTCCTGAAACTCCTTCCCTTGATCTTAGTTCTGAACTTTGATGCGATATTGATCCTCCCTTCACATGACAGACTTTCACCAATGGTTGGTGTGATAACTTCTATTACACAGTGTCAACATGTGCAAGTTACCATGTGTTGTGCTTTACTTACATTATCTCAGTTACTTAACTCTTGGTGATTCCACTTGGGCATTTGTGAAGACGGAATTCACAGGACTACAGTGAGGACTCGGTGAGGTATTTCATGTAAGCTTAATATAGTGCTTGGACTATGGTAAATACTCAGTAAATTGTGCCTGTAATTTATTCTTGGGCTGTCACTGCTGCTGTGGCTATTCTAATTCTATTGGCGGTGGTGGGAATAGCCTTGGCATGACAAAAATCAACTATATAACAAAAATAGAACATTTTGAATATTGCAAAAGGTAACAGAGCTAAAACCTCCTTTGCTTAGGTTTGTGGGAAACCATAAAAGCAAAAGCAATTCTATAAAGGAAAATCAAAATGCTTCACTACATAAAAATTAAAATTTTTAAATGTGAAATCCTATTATAATGGGAATAAAAAGACAAATAACAAAATAGGAAAGACATGTAGAACATATAAAATGTATGTTACTGTTACAAATACCAAAGTTTTGGGAATTTTTTTCAACAGTTTTAAAAAAGATAAAAATCCAATTTTTCTAGGAAACTGACAAGAGAAAGGAAATTCACAAAACACAAAAATATGCCCAATAAAGATATCCACTAAGCTGTTAGTAATTATTATCTATAGATGGTCATAATGTTATGGTATGCTTATAAAGCATTACACTTTTATGATTTCCAAATATTTAACAATAAATACGTAATACCTTTCTGAAACTTTTCAATGTCGTAAATATTAGTTTTTAAGTGATTTGTTTGACTGAAACTAAGTTGGCTTCTTATAAGCATTATTTTCATTCTAGTTGCATAAAAAGCATCTTTTAAATAATCTATTGTAGAATTCTGCTAGAGATTAACATTAATAACAGCCATCTGTTGTTGTTGTTGTTATGTGCCATCGAGTCGTTTTCGACTCATACCGACCCTATCTAGAATCTTTATTTACAACCCATCTACAGCTCTATTCATCTTATTTTTCCTATTCACATGTATTTCCACAAATACAATCAAAGCTAGATTATCTGCCCAAGTTTTTGTCCCTCTTGATTTTATTCATTCTTCAAAATTCAGTTCAGATACTTACATCCTTTCTAAGCTCTCACAACTAATACCAAGTGTGCTATGCCCTTAGCTTCAACGACATTTGAAGTAGATTATTGGTGGTTATCTAGTATAGAAGACAGAGGGGAAAGAAGAGGATTCTGCTAAGGGGCTTTGAGTGTTGTATTTACGATGGTGAAGCAGAAAAAAAAAACCAACCAGTAATAGGCTGTACACTATGAAGAACACAGTTATTATCACTTAACTGTGCAAGCTGAAACTTCTGAATTGGCAAATATTTTTTATGTCTATTTTCACTGCAATATTAAAAAAGAAAATTCAGTGGCCCCTTCTATGATACCACTTCTAAAGTACAGATTTATCATATGTGCTTAATAAAGTACAGATATATATTAATGTTCCATTAATGGACAACTTTTAGCCAGTAGATATCTTACTGTTGCTGCTGTTATATATGCCATCAAGTTGGAACTAAGTCATAGCTGACCCTCCAAAAGGGTTTCCAGTGTAAATCACTGTCCATCTTTCTCTCATGGAGCAGATGTTGTTGTTGTTGTTGTTATGTGCCGTCGAGTCGCTTGCGATTCATAGCGACCCTATGTACAACAGCCCTAAACTCCGCTCTGTCCTGTGCCAATCGCACTGTCTCTGACACTCCCATTCCCATTATCCCAGTCACCGAATCAATCCACCTCATAGAGGGCCTTCCTCTCCTGCGCCGTCCCTCCACCCTCCCAAGCATGATGTCCCTCTCCAAGGACCGGTCTCTCACTTGCCTTTGAGTTGGAGGCATAATTAATTCCTTGCCATGAAGCCACCAGAGCTCTAAGATATCTTGGCAAGTATTTATCATTGTAAAGCTTAACTGAATCAATAATGTTGCTGCTATTGTTAGTTGTTTCCAACTCATAAGAGCAAATAAAAAGTCCCCTACAAAAGATTCTTCACAAGTTGGAATCCAGCAAGCTAAATTGTTGCTAACTAAAATTAAGGTTCCATCACCACTATTGAGAAAGTCCTGCCTTTCTCTGTCCTAAGTCCCATTTGTAGGCTAAAAGTGGTCAGTAGGTGCTGTCATCTTCTACTTACAGAGACTCCCCGCACAAAAGAACAAAACACTGTCCAATTCTGCACCATCCTCACCAACCTTGCCCACTGTAGCAGCCATTGTGTCAGATCATCTTGTTGAGGGTCTGCCCCTATACTTTAGCAAGTATGATGTTCTTAACAAGGACTGGACCCCTCTGATAGCATGCCCTCCATAAACCAAAACAATAGCAGTGTTGAGGTGCATAGCAAAGACGACTATTTTTAAGAATTCTTTGGAAATTGTCATCTCTTCTCTACCCTCAATCTTTGCACACACAAATGTATCCTGCACTGGGGATAGAGACTGAGAAGCCTACACCAATTCAAAGTACTGATAACTCCAAAAGATACAGACCACAGGCAAATCACCATCATCTTCCTCTTCTTCTTTTTCCACTTTAGTGGTAGAAATAGCTGTCCAGCTCACATCATCATCCACAATTCGCATTCTAAATGGGAAGAGGGGGAGAAAAAAGATAAAAGAGGGTTACCCACTGGTTTTAGGAAGAAAGTTCAAAATCTTACAATATGGTACATGGTCAAGTCTTGGCCTAGCTAGCCAATTTTATCTCACACAGCTGCCCCGTCAATTCAACACTTCAGTAGTGCCTGAAATGAGGCAACTTTCTAACACCCTCGTTCTCACATACAGTTCTCCATACCTGACCTGCTCTTCTCTTCATTCTGCGCTAGCATAAATATAACTTCCTTAGGTAGACCTTCAATTGCCCCTCTTCCATAACAACACTAAGAAAACCTGTTACACACATTCAGAATACCTTCATTGTGTTTATCACAATGGAAATTAATTGTGCAAGTAGCTCTTTTGAGGCCTGTTTCTCCACTGAACAGCAAGCTCCATCAGAATAAGAACTATGGCTGTACTGTTCACAAAGGCATCTTCAACACTGCGTAGTACCTAACAAAGGAAGTATTCAGTAAGTGTGTGCTTGGACGCACTAGTAGTAGCTAGCAAAGAAAGTATTCAGTAACTGTACGTTTGTTATACAGATGGCACTAAAAAACAGTAACTGCCATTATGTGAGGGAGATCTGGTGACTTGATGGGTAAGTAGTTATGCTGACAACTCAAAGGCAGGAAGTTCAAATTCACCAGCTGCTTGAAGGGAGATATCCACACCCTCCTGCAAGTGTGTTTTACAGCCTATAAAAACTCATTGGAGGGGAGCTCTGGTGGCCTAGTGGCAAGGAGCTGCAACTACAGTCCCAGAGGCTCACGGTTTGAATCCACCAGATGCTCTGCAGGGGAAGGAGGGACAATCTCCTCCTGTACCAGTCAGATCTGATTTGATGGTACACTCACACACAAAAATAATAAAATAAAAAAAGAAAAACTCATTGGAAGGTCACCTAGGATTTGGTTCCAACTCAATGGCAATGAAAGAATGAGTGAAAGCCATCATGTGAACAATTTCTACTTGATAAGTCAGGAATTTTTCATATTCCTGTCAAACATTCTTCTAGGTGGTAGAGCACTGGTCTGTGCGTTGCTGTACAGAGGTAACTCGTGGTTGCTGTGATGCTGAAGCCTGTGACAGTGATGTGCCAATCGTGGTAATGGGCACCCATGGTGGACAGTGTTGGCTGGAGCTTCCCGACTA